ATAAGATGCTATACTACTCTCTCAAATTTAATTAAAAGGGGAAGATACAAACAATTTAAGGCTTCCAAAAATGCCATTTTTATTGGTGTGTGTTGGGGGAAGAAAGGAGAGAAAGAGAGAGAGAGAGAGAGAGAGAGAGTGTGTGTGTGTGTGTGTGTGTGTATGCACATTAGTGCTTGTATGCATGTACTTGGAGGCCGGAAGAGGATGTCAGGAGCCTATCGTGATGTCAGGAGTTCTATCGTGATCCAGTTTATTACTTGATTACTTAGAGGCAGTGTCTCTCCTGAACCTGGAGCTAGACAGGCAGCCAGAATGCCCTGGTGATCCTCCTGTCTCTACTTCAGACAGTGCCGGGATTACAGCCTTGTACATCGCCATAGTAGGCTTTCCACCTAGGTTTGAGTATCCTCACACTCCCACAGCACACTCTTATCCGATGAGCTGTATCGCCAGCCCCGACAATCGCTTTTTAAAAACTTACTGCTTAAGCCTACCAGCACGACTGACTTTGTTTTGCAAATTCCTTTGTTTCAAAGTCTGAGGAGATCCTGGGCCTTGATATACCAGTGGATGCTGTGAGCCCGGTTCCATTTTTCTCAAAGGTCAGGTTGTATTTTGTTGCCCAGCACTGCTGGCAGCTGTAGAAACGGGCTTCTGTATGTTGTCATTTGAAAACTATTGAATGATCACTTCCTGGGCTGGAGTCACACTCGGTGGAAGAGCTCTTGGCTAGCATACAAGAGGCCCCCAGGGTCGCTCCTAGCTAGGCAAAGTAAAAATAGACGTTTGTATTCTCTAGTCCTAAGATAATGTCCAAAGTTACCACCTGACTTAGTTTCTACTTGTGAAATGCAGACTTGCTTTTAGCCAACCCTTATCGGCAGGCAGAACTTGAAGAGACTGAGGGAGTTTAAAGCCTCCTAAGGAAAGGTTCCACTGTGTTCCACTGTCAGGGGCCTGTGGCTATCTCCCACACATTTCAGTGACCCTTGGAAGCCAGAAGCAGCCCAGAGAAGGCAAGGACATCTGGCTGTTCATACCAGTGCTTTGTTCAGGAAAGCAGGAAGCTCTGTTTTCATCTGGTTATTTTAAACGTGTAATACTTTCAAGAGGATTGGCAGCGCCTTAGCGTGTAATCACTTGAGCAAGAAAACAGCTAACAGACAAAACAAGATAGACAAGCAGACCAGAAGGCTGGCTAGAGGCATGTGTTGTAAGTCCCACCCCTCCCAGGTACATAGAACATCAAGAAATGTTAAAAAGTTAAGTTTATTAGACCCAAGATAGGGAGGGGACCAGAAAAGTTTCCTCTATGGGGGTGGGGCCGAAACCCCTGAGCTGTGAAGATTCTCACTGAACCATAACCTCCCCTCACCCCCACACTCGCTTTAAGTGTGCTGAAGCAGCAGAAATCAATGCAGAGTGAAAACATGGTTTGGGAATAGCCTGGAGGGGCTGGAGAGGGCTCTGGGGGAAGCTGAAGGCAGTGACAGGCAGCTCAAGATCCCCAGACATAAGGCAGAGGGATGGTGAGGGAGAAAGGATGATGCTCTCCCCTACAGGAGAGGACTTGGAAGGAGGGTCACATGAGGACTGTGGCTCTGATAGCTCCTGTTCCTTAAAGGATAATGTTTCCATTTGCAAGGGTTGGGAAATCATGTAGAAAGAAGGGAGAGTATAGTTAGGTAGGGAAATGTGAACTAGTAAGTCAGGAAGGCTGCCGTGAGCTCCCTATGGCGCAGATGGAACCTGAAGCAAGATGCACTCAGGGCAGAGAATGAGACAGCGTACTTCTCCACCGTACATCCTGTATCACTAAGGCTGGTGCCTACACACACTCGTGGACTATAGATAGACAGGGTTCTGTGGAACAGAAGTCATTTCTGTGTTAGATGAGCAGACATGTGTGCTGTACCCCGTGGCCGAAAGGCCTCGTTAGCAAGAGCACTGGGAAACACCACTAACTTCAGGACAAAAGTCCATGAGTTTCTTGCTGTTTTGTTTCCCTCCATAAGGTTTAGTGTTCCTGGAGAAGCTGTTATATATTTAGTACTCAGAGCGCTACAGATTGGGGGTGCTGAGTACATGAGATGAGTGATGTGGTCTGTCACGAAGAGGTGCACACCCCTTGAGAGAAGAATGGACAGAGGCGAGGACACTCTGCTGTGGGCACTGTGGGTGGAGAGGCAGGGGCTCTGACTAAGGGAACTAGGAAGAGCATCTTGGAGGAGAAGCACCAACCTCACTGATTGGGTAGGATGCTGGAAACAAGTGTGATGTGTACCCGTTACAAGGTGGATGCTTTATTGATGAATATATGGATCTTGGTAAACCTAAAACCAAATCAAAATCTTCCTTACGATGTCAGCTAAAACTGAATGCTTAGCACTAGGACTTATGGTTTAGCATCCCCCTCCCCTTTACCGTTTATACATTGCTGTTAAGACAACCTCTCATTTAGCACAGGCTGGTCTTGGGAACTTACCTGAGGATGACCTTGAACTTCCAGTGTTCTTACATCTATCTTCCAAGTGTTGGGATGATAGGTATATGCCATTATGCCCACTTGTTAATTGATTTTCTTTTTCTTTTCTTTTCTTTTCTTTTCTTTTCTTTTTTATGTAGGATCTCACTCTATAATCCAGACTAGCTTGGAACTCACTAAATAACCCAGGTAGCCCAGGTTGCCCTTGAACCTTGTGACAATCTCCTGCCTCAGCCTCCAGAGTGCTAGACATGGCAAGCATGTGGCCCAGCTTGCTATTCTCCTGATTGTTTTCAACCCTGTGTGTGTTTTCAGCCCCGTGTGTATCATCTGCTTTCCCATGCCAGGTCAGTACCATTGCCTGTGTTGCTTTTGTTCCTGATGTCACCTGCCGAGTGTCAGATGGGGGCAGTTTCACTTCCCGAGGACACTCTCTTTTTGCCTGCTGTGGGAAATGCCAAATAGATTTTTAAAACAAAAAGAAAACCAGCCATTATCCTATCCCTCAGAAGGGATCACTGAAACCATTCTGGGATTCTATTTGTTTGCTTTTTCTATTTATTTAGAAATTATATGTGTTAAGCAGAAGCAAGACCATATATGACATTGATACGTTTTTCTAATTTGTATCAGTGTTGGGCTTATTTCTCTGGCTCTAAAGCCTGCCATTCACATGACCCAGCCAGAGGTGGGCATCAGTGCCACCAAGATGGCATCAGTGTAGTGCCTCCCAATGGCTCCATGCTGTAAGAAATGGAGATCATGTGACCCACGAAGGCAGACTGTGCTTTGCGTAGCAGGAACTGAGTAGACTGCTGTTTATATCTCATATTACATTTTTAAATTTCATAGCCACTCAGATCTGTGCTTCCAGAAGTCTGAATGGAAGGCAAAAGATGTCTTTGCTTGTGGAGTTTCGTTCTAACGTGAAAACAAAACAAAACCCAAACCAACAGGTTGAGAGAACCAGAAATCCTGGCCCATCTCTCCCCAGAGGCTGTGCTCTGTTATTCACAGGCTTGTTGATCTTTCCAGAGACAGGAAACAGGCTTCATCACATCTCTCCCTGGGCTGTGGCGCTCTAGCTGAAGTTCTGTCTGTATTTACATCGTGCGTGTTTATGTGTGTAAATGCAGGTGCACGTCAGCTTCCATGAGTGTGTGGAGGTTGGAGGACATTCTTGGGTGTGGCTCCTCACCTTCCATTTGGTGTAAGAGAGAGCCTCTTGGCCACTTCTGCCTTTGCCAGGCTGGCTGGGCTTCCAGGAATTCTCCTCCATCAGACGCAGGAGAGCTGGGATTGCAGACACGCACTGGCACGTCCAGGTTAATGTAGGTTCTGGGAATCTGAACTCAGATCTTCACCCTTGCACAGCAGGACTTTACCCATTGAGCCATCTTCTGAGCCCCAACTTGGAGGTGTATGTCTGTGACACCTGTGATCGTAGCACTTGGAAAGTGGAAGCAGGAGTTCACACAGGAGACTCCCAGGCCAGCCCGGGATATATAAGACTCCCCCACCCCTACCCCCCTACCCCTTGAAAAAACCAAGGGCAAAAATAAAAAGAATGTTTTTCCCCCTCATTTTATTCTCATTTTGTTAGCACTTGGTCCCAAGAGCATAGTTTAGTTTCAGAATGAAGCTGAGGCTTGGTTCCAACAGGACTTCAGGGCTGCCTCACTGTCACCCTCTGTGTCCCCATCAGGGCATCCTGTGCTTTGCCACAGAACAGTCCTCCCCTTGTTCCTTTCCGCTGTAAGAAGAGCAGATTTGCCTGCTCTGCAGTGTCTCCTCCACAAAGCATGCTTTCCGAAGGATACCTACCCTGTCTCCCATGCACTGAGGCTGCAGTAGAGCCGTCAAGGATGCCCCCGAGTCCCCAAGGACAGCGTGGAGAGTGGAAGGCTGCCCCTCACTCTTGTCTGAAGCTTGGCAGCCAGAGGCGCTGGGGCAGCCAGAGTGGATTACTGAATGGGATCTGATTTGTGGGACATTAAAAGTCCTCTTTACCATTCATGCACTTGCAAACGTAGGAGGCAGGAGACTGAGGTAGGAGGAGGACAAGGCCAGTCTCAGTGGCATAGTCTCAAATAAGATAATAATAATTCTATTTTCTCTAAAACATTATCCCCACTGGCAGGAGATTCTTACCTTTGGAGAAAACTTCTGGAGGCTTTAGTGTAAGACTTCCAGCTGCCTACGCTAAGAGTAAAGCGCCTTTTTGGAAATTAATGAAGAAGGTGCCTAGGGGTGTGTATATGTGTGTGTGTACATGCTTGGAGGTATGTGTGCACATGTGTGTGGAAGTCAGAAGTGGACCTTAGGTATCTACCATTATTGTTCTCTACATTATTTTTTCTTGAGATAGCTTCCCACAAACCCAGCATTCAGTGATTGGCTAGATGACTGGTCAGCCAGCTCTGGGAATCTATTGCCTGTCTTTACTCCATCTCCCAGTGTGAAGGTCATTCATTGAACCTTTTATCTTTTCTTTTAATTATCTGCTCTGAAGAACATTGAACTGAAGCCACGGCTCAGCTTCCAAGATGGCGCCACTTAAACTGCATGTGCCTTTCTGCCTCCTCTGCTGCCTGGCCGTGGTGCATCCCTTTAACTGGCAAGACCCGCCTCCTTTTGACTTTAGGCTATCAGGTAAGAGTGATCAAAGTCCAAGTGACTTCAAGATGTCACATTTTTTGATGTGTGAGGAAGGCCTTTTAAGAAGTGTTCATGCAGGGGGCTGGCACGATGACCTGGTGCAAACATGAGGATCTGAGTTTGAGTCCCCATCACTGATGTAAAAAGTTTTCAGTGTGTGTCGGGTGGGTGGAAGCAGCAGGATCTTGAAGCTTATTGGAGATCCATCCTAGATGACTTAATGTGCTTCAAGTTCAGTGAGAGATCCTGCCTCAAAAAGCAAAGATGGAGGGTGATCAAAGAAGGCATTGGTCCTTGACCTCTGGCTTATATGATCATGTACACACATAAGCATGTACACCTGAACATGTATGTGTTCATGCACACACTAACGAGTGCTTACAGTGCTCACACATGCATGCTTGCTCCCTTGCACACACGCATAAGAGCATATATATTCAGGGACATCTTTGTTTTAGGGTGGGGAGGAAACCTCACCCTCTTCTCTTTACAACCAAAACCAAGAATATGTTTTCTTCAACACAATGCTTGCAACATAGGCACTGTAACATACAGACTGTCAGCTTGTATGACCATGAAAAATTCCCTCAACACCTCCTTCTCCCTTCCTTCACTGCCCTAATTCAACTCCTGCCAGGTGTAGAAGATACTTGGCTGGGAGTTTACAAGAGAGTCTCCAACCAAGATCCATGAAGGTGGGATGGGGCTTGTGTCTTGGCAAATGAACCTAGTCCCAGGGAGGTAGAAAGATGAGAAAATAACAACCTGGACCCTTGAGGTCCAAAGGGACATGACTGATTCTACCTAAGTGTGAGGAGAAGTGGAGGCAAGTAGATGCCTGGAACTCCAGAGAATAGACAAGCTCACTTTTTCTCTTCAGTTGTGTTCAGAAGAGAAGAAAAGAGGAAGAAGGTCTAGATGGTAGTAGAGACAATACTAGAAGGGCAGCCAGTGTGGGACAGGTACATCTCGTGGCACCAAGAAGGACACATCTTTGCTTCTGGAGCCTTGTGAATGCCCATTCATCTTAAAGAACTCTGACGTGAAAGTGTGTCCATCTGTGTCCTGTGGAGAGCACAGCATGAGGTGGCTTGAGCATGAGGTCATGTTGTCTACACCCATACTTGGATAGATGTACTTCACTCAGGATCTAGTTGTCGGGTCTGTTGAGTGACTTCTTACGGCATCTACAAAAGGACTTGCATAACTCAGTGTTATTGAGATAAACTTTGCCCTAATTAGGGAAATGGATGAATCAATAGGAAAGGGTCTGTGCTTTGTATTGATATTTGCACAAGTAATTAATCGGATATGTCAGAGGTCCATTTATCCCTTAACACTTGCCAGGAAGCGAAGGCACCATGGGTACCGTGTTGACTAAGGTGCAGAGCTTGCAGTCAGGCAACCTGTGACCTACTTGAAATGAAGTTCATCTTTCCAGGTATCATTTTAGGTCACATGACAGGTAAGTTCTCGTTCAGGGTATGCTTTAGATAATATACTCTTATCGGTGAAGGGTGAGAATTTAAAGGCATGTTTTCTCTCCTCCTATCTTTAAACATCACTTGGAAATCTCCAGGGCGGGGTTATTTATTAGGTTGTTCATCCTCCTGAGTTATCATCTTGTGTTAACCCAATGCCATATTCATTCTAGATGCTCAAAAGTGGGCACATGAGTATTTAAAAATGATAATTAAATAGATTAAAATAAATGATGATTATTCTTTATAATTTATTAGATGACTATATAGAAAATATAGCTATTTGGGTTATGATTCACTTAATTGGTGAGTGTGTGTGTGTTATAAGTGCATGAGTGTCTGTGAGTGTCCACACCTCTATATACAGGTGGAAGCCATAGGAAAAGGTCCAAGGCCCTGTTCTATCACTGTCTACCTTATTCCCTTGAGACAGGGTCTCTCACTGAATTAGGCTGACAGCCAGCAAGCCCAAGACATTACCCACCACAGCTCCGGGGTTTCAGTTCCCCGTGGCCATGCCTAACTTTTTGTGCTGCTACAGATTTAAACTCAGGTCCTCAGGCTTGCGTAGTGAGCACTCTTATCTATTAAACCATCTCTCCAAACTCCTCTTTTGGTTACCTACCAGGTTAGGTAACCCAGGCTGACCTCTGACTCACTATGTAGCAAAGGCTGGCCTTGAATTATTTATCCTGTTGTCTGCTCCTGGCAAGCACTGATATTACAGGCACGTGCTGCCGCACTCGGAAAGGCTTACAAGTCTGGACTAGAGATAACGCTGCATGCTGATGAAGGAAAATAAAAGTATAAAAAAAGAATGCATTTTACTTCCCCCCTAGAATGTGAACATCTCAAGGCAGGAATATTTGACTACCAAAACCATGTACTGAGTAGCCTGTTATAGGGCTCAAAGTTCCTATTCAAATGAAGTTGAAGAGGACTAGCAAAAGATAGGTTCTAAGCCACGAACTATAGCATGGAAACTCCAGCTGGTCCAACAGGTCTCTTTCTTCTTCTACCTTATGATGCAGATAGATGGAGAGACTGAGATGCAGGCACATAGGAAGTGCAAGCTGTAAGACACTCACCCTTTTCCGCACCCAGTGTGCTGCCCGTGACTCCCAAATTCAAGATGAACAGGCTCCTAAAGTAGAGAAGGTTTAGGAGAACCGTAGGTGATTAAGAGGTTCCCTTGGTTTCTGTGGTGTTAAGATCTCATAGGAGGGGAGATCTATTTGTGTGGTGTGGAACTCTGATGATAGGGTCTCCAAGGTAGCTAAGAATTTAGTGGTAGTGCCCCCCCTCCCAAGCCCTGCCACGCTTGCTTATGGGTGGTGACACAGCTGCTTGTCACCTTCCAATTACACCAGGCCTAACTCCACAGATAACCTGAAATGGGAGTGGAAGAACCTTTCGTAATTCTAAAGAAGCCCTGGAATGTTCATCAATAGGAGGGCAAAGTTAAACAAAACAAATCAAAAATCAAAAACCTTTGAGGAAACGCTCTGAAGTTTGAATGGGCCCTGAGGGAGAGCTGAAGTCCTAGGGTAACTCTGCTAAATCCAGCCTTTGACTCGGGGGAAGAAGAGGAGGAGGAAGAGGAGGAAGTAAAGGCTGTTGACTGCCGGTTACCTGCTACAGTCAGTGAATACACACACTTTGTCTACATGACTGTCGTGCAGGCTGGTGAAGGGTTTTTTATGTCTCAGCTCTACCACTGGGCACCGGAGAGAAGAGTTAAACTGCTTAGGCCAGGGCACCATAGCTTGGTGTCTGAAACAGAACCACCTGGATCCAATATTGGGCTCTACTCTGCTTTGCCGTCTGTCCCTTGAAGCTGCCTCCTACCATTTCTTTGCCAGTGTGGTGGGCCAAGAGATTCTGGACCGTGACCCAGTAGTTCTTCAATTTGAATCAGACTTGACTAGTCTAAATTTTTAGATGTTAGTCTGAGGCTGAATTTAGACACTTGACTCTTTTTGATGCAGTTGCATTAGGCTGAGGACCATGAGTCAACATTTCTAAAGATCTGGTGATAACCCATGATGCCGGCCTTGTGTAGGAGGCCTTATGCATTGAAAGCCTCCATCTCGGGTTGGTGCTTCACATATGAGTCATCGGTGGAGGATGTGAATAAGATGATTGCCAAGACTCGAACCCTTTCTGAACAATGTTGCATGATTACGGATGCGGGTGCCAAACATTACATAGCTGTGGCTATTTGGCAGAGCCTGTACAGCTCTGTATCAGTCAAGTGAATGTTGAGGGCAGGCTCAGTGTATCAGAGAAAGTAGGAGTCTGGATTTATTGTGATTTGGGCCTAACGTCTAAAAGTAAAGCATGGATTTGATTGAGGTCTAGAAAGGAGGGCAGTTGCAGGTGTATGGAAGGGGTTGGGCTCCAGAAAGAGGAGGGGATTCGGGAGTGGGAGAGTCAAAGAATGTATGTGATGGGCTTGAAGGAAGGACAAAGGAGGTTGGTGGTGTTTCAGCTTAGTTCTCCTCCTTTCTACAAAATTGTGTTCAGCCTGGTACCTTAGAGGCTGAATTTAGACTAGTGGGGCCAGCTCTTGAGCAGTAGCTAGTTTGGACCAGTGTCGTCATTTTCGGCATATTATAATATTACACACACACACACACACACACACACACACACACACACACACACGGAATTCTTGATTCTGAGGAAGAAATGATTATGTCTGGGATGTGGGTTATTCCAGATTAGGAAGAAATCATAGAGATTGTGTAGAGGTTTGTTTGACTCCCAGGATCCTGGCTTGGAATTCACAAGAGAGAATTCTGGGTTTCGGGGTGGGGCTGGGCATTTAGAGAGTGAGGAGGAGGAGTTGGGAGATGGTCATTTAGTTTCATCTTGAGCCACTGGCTTTTGATAATGCTATGGAAAAATGCCAGGCCCAGATGTACAAGAAGTGTGAGCATAATGTAGTGATACATCCCTTTAATCCCAGCACTTGGGAGGCAGAGGTACCTGATTCTTTGTGAGTTTGAGAGTAGCCTGGTCTACAGAGTGAGTTTCATGACAGCCAGGCCTACACAGAAAAACCCTGTTTCGACACACACACACACACATACACACATACACACACACACACTGTAAACACTAACCTGAAGTGTGAGAGTTTCATATTCATAAAGGGAACAGATATAAGTCATGTTTCATATACTTTGTACAGAAATAGAAGCTGGAGACAATTCCCTTGGGTGATTCCAAGCATCTTGCCAGAAGACACAGCTACCTCCATCTATTTGTTCCCAAAAAGCCCCCTACATGGTTTGTACAAAACAGGCCCTTGGGTAAGGTGAGAACTGAGAGGGTGCTGGGGAAATGAGGCAATCAGTGATATGCTTGTCACACATGAAGATCAGAGTTCAGATAGACAGCACCCATGTAAAACCCCCAGTTCTGAGGAGGCAGAAGCAGTTGACTCCATGGAGTTCATTGGCTGGTCACTCTATTCCATCAGCGAGCTCCAGATTCACCGAGGATTCTGTCTCCAAAAAATGAGGTGGAGAGCAGTCAGGAAGACAGCTGACATAGACGTCTGCCCTCCACATTCACATGACGTACGAACACACACACACACACACACACACACACACACACACACATACACACACACACATGAGAGAGAGAGAGAGAGAGAGAGAGAGAGAGAGAGGGAGAGGGAGGGAGAGAACAGAAACTATTAGCCATATTTCATTGCCTTGGATTTCTAATCACAGTAAAGCCCAAGGTGGACTGGATTGCTGCCGTGTGTTTACATGAAACTGCATGAACCTATTTTTCAGCATTGTTTCATAAGCTTCAAGCGGTGATGTCTGCTGCCAACTCTGGCCATAGCAAAATCCCCAAAGGAAATGGATCTTACCCCGTCGGTTGTACAGACCTGATGTTCGGTTATGCCAATGAGGTAATGCCCTACTTCTAGTCTTAAACCCTGAGGGCTTGCCCTTACTTCTAGAACACGTGATAACTTGACCCTGCATTCACCTGAGAATGATTAATTGGCCATTCCCCTTGCAATGCCTTTCATCCTTTATTATCGCCTACAGACAACTATTATCTGTTACTGATGGGTTTAACTTCTACTCAAAGCATGACTATTCCATCTTTTTTTTGTCTTTTGTGCTTCTACTCAACCCTCCAGCAGCTTGCACACTTCCATAGACCTCTTAGGGAAAGATAGGGATCTGGCACCTGGTATTAAAATGTTCAAAGCACGGCACTTCTCTGACCGCATTTGACTGAGCCTATGTTCGTTTCCCAACAGAGCATCTTCTTGCGTCTGTACTACCCGGCTGAAGATCAATATCGTTTTGACACTGTTTGGATCCCCTACAAAGAATACTTTTGGGGTCTTAGCAAATTTCTTGGAACATCCAGTTTTGTAGGTGACATTTTGGGCTTCTTCTATGGTAAGATTTCTGTTGGTCCCGTTCTGAAGTTCTGGGCATGTGTATGTTTATATGCATGAGTATACATGCATAAGTGTAAGTGATTTAGAAGCAGAGTTACAAGTAATAAGACTGAGGTTGATTTTCCTCCTAAGGTGGTAAGGAGGGGATTTGTTTTGCTTTTTTTTTTTTTTTTAAACTGTGTGTGTTTGTACTCTTATGCTCATGAGTGTGCATTCATGTGGAGGCCAGAGGACAACCTGAGGTGTTTGTTATTCCTCAGAAACACAGTCCACCTCCTTTGAGGAAGGGTCTGTCAGTAGTCTAGGGCTCACCCGTTGGGCTGGGCTAACTCATCAGCAAGCTCCAGGAACCCTCCCGGCTCCACCTCCCCGGCACTGGGATATCAGGTGTGTGCCCGGTGTTTTTACGTCACCACTTGCAAGGCAAACACTTCACCAGTTGACTGATCCCTCAAGCTGGAAAAGACAGAATTTCTTAAGGGATTAGTCAACACCGAGAGAAGTGAGGGTTCTTTACCATTTTACCCATTCTGATTTTGATGTGACCGGATGGGAATGTCAGACTTGTCTTAATATTTTCTTATGCCTGATCCTCAGTTTCCCTTCTTGCAACCTGTGTGGTAAGAGTAGCAAATGGTTTGGTGGGACCATTGCCCCATCCATTTTGTGTCAGACGAAAATACCGAATGGAAGCCAAGCCCGGCTAACATTACACTCATTTTAAAAAGAGACCTTACTTTGTGCCCATCACCCATTCCCAAATGATGCCCTTCTCTTTTACAATCTGAGACAGTCATCATTTTATATGTCTGCATTATGCCAGGGAGACTTTCTGTTCCCAACATCTGTTAGCTCAGGTGTGAATCTGAGCCTGTGTTAATTGCACCTTCAAATTCAGCCTTCGAAGTGTTCAGCTTTGGGAATTCATTTCAAACTTATCTTAGGGTTTTCACAGAAATTGCTTTAAACTAGGAAAATGACCAAAGCTAGAAAATACTGCTATGTAGTGTGGAGTAATTTATAAGTCACTTCCTTAGCAACTGTCACGTTCAGTCTTCGTGACCACCTATTTGTTTACAATAAGAAAACAGCATATAAATGATCATAACAATGATGGTGAAGACAGCTGAGACTCGAGGGAAGGGAGGTGATACTTTCTAGTTTTGCTCTTTTTACTATGTAAATGGATAGGTTACTTTATACAGAAAGCCTAATGTGATATGAGTTTCATTAAAACTAGCCAAGATCCTAATCACCCCCTCCATTTTATAGAAGAGGCATCTGAGGCTGGCTGAGTCTGAGGACCAGGCCCAAGGCCAGGAACTCGCCAGTGGCACTGAAAAGCCCCCTCTGGCGTGTGAAGTCACGGTCTCCCTACCTGTGGCTGGACCTTGATGCAATATGCGGGGGGTCTCTGGCTCTCAGGTCCTGGCTTGCAGCGTAATGTCCTAAGTTTACTGGATGGTTGGTTTAAAATTAAATGTTCAACATTATTTCAAAGCCTCAGAATAGGAATAATCAGTATCTTTTCCAGAATGTACCTATAAGTAGGGAAAAAAAAAAATCTCTCCCCTGGGGGCTGGACCTTATAGGAAAGGCACATGGAAGTCCCTGGTTGGCTTTTTAAATGAGTGTACTAAATTATAAAATCATAGTTAAAACTCCGTGGTTTGGGGATTTGTACTCAGGAGATGTAAGTTAAATTAACCAGCAACATTCAAGCCAGAGGAAACTTTGATTCACCTCCCACCATTGCCTAGGTTCAGTGAAGATACCTGCCAGCTGGAATTCTCCTCTGAGGACTGGCGAAAAATATCCACTAATTGTCTTTTCTCACGGTCTTGGAGCATTCAGGTAATACTCGGGAGACTAGACAGTTTTAGTTCCAAGCCGTCACTGACTAGATCCCTTTCTTAAAAACAACAATAGCAACAAAACAGATTTCAGCACCCACGTCAAGAAGCTCTCAACTACCTGTGACTCCAGCTGTGTGTGGGATACAGTGCCCTCTTCTGGCCTCCACAGGTACCTGCACACACATGCACAAAAAAGTATAGCTGTAACTAAAAATGTTTACATCTTAAACCCTTACTTCCTCCATCTTAAATGTAAGCCTTTGTTCTTAGCTGTTTTATAGATGATGACAAAATTGAGTAACTATCTTGAAATCATTCATAGCTAATGAATGACAGAGATTAAAAACCCTCAAACTTAAGTTGGGATCACTTTACCACCAAGATGTGTCCCCAACTCACAAGAAGAGCTTTTCAATTTGGTTCCCACGTTCCCTTCTAGGACTGTGATAGTGGAAGGGATACTTGCATGTCACTAGACAATGGACAATCAGGTTCTCCTCCGAGAACTTCTTGGAGCCCTTGTTTATCTAATAAATACGCATATGAAAGAGGAAAGGGAGGTCAATGGATAGGAGGAAAGTCGAATCGAGGATGGAGCTGAGGAAGATGGCCGGGAGAGGTGTGAAGTAGACTAATTAAATCTGTGTGTATGTTGTAGAGATAGATGGATCTGCCTCATCTCTCAAAATCAGTATTTGTAGTCACTATAACATCAACTCAGTTCTCTTTATTCACAGTTACTATTTCACTAACTCAGCATCCTTGACAGTTCAGGCTGCGTAATCGCCTCCTTTACCAGCCCTTTCCTGTGTACTGTAAGATGCTTAGCAGCGTCCCTCTAATCACTAGATGCCAGTCCAGTAGCCACCTTTTCCCCAGTGGAAATAAACACCCCTAGACACTGGCAGGTGCCCCCTAAGGGGTAAAAACTCTTTGAGGACCAGAGCTCTCCAGTGTGCTGATGTGGGGTGTAACAAGCTCCATGCCCCTCATTTTCTTACAAACTTAGGTTTGTAATTGTGGTTAGTAACTGTGATGCTCCCTGTTTTTTGTTCTCCAGGACAGTTTATTCTGCTATTGGCATGGACCTGGCATCTTATGGGTTCATAGTTGCTGCTGTCGAACACAGGTATGTTCCTGTGTATTTCAAATACAAACAGAAGCAAACAAATTATATCAGCACCCTTAACTATACTTGTAACTGTTTTATATGCACACAGAAACCATGGGTGGAATTCTACAGGATGAGAACAAAAAGGGAATGAACTATATTGTCAAGACCTTCAGAACAGTGTTCTGAATTCGATAAGGGTCTGCTGTGTTCAGCTGCAGGTGTTCAGACACTGTTTCAGTCCTTTAGAATATGTAACAATCCTATGAAATGATTGTTTTACTCATTTCACACAAGATACAGATGAAGGCACAGGGGTGATTTGCCCGAAGTCAGACAGCTATTGGGTGGCAATCCAGGAATTTGTTTTTAGAGAGCTGTTTTGTTTTGTTTCCTGTTATGTTTACAGCACATGGCATTGGAGACACTTTACCACAGCTCTGGGTACACAGCTCATGAGGATGGCTATTCAACATGGTCCCGATGTTGCCTTCTAGGACTGTGATAATGGAGAGGTTATCTTTTCGTGTCACCAGGCAATGGACAGTTAGATCCTTTCCAAGCTCTCCCTTGGTGTCCTCTTTTATTTGTGGGGAAAGCGGAAGAGGAAAGGGATTTCAACGGATGAGGGGAAAGCTGAATGAAGGATGGAGCTGAGGAAGACCGTCAGATGAGGATCGGAGTGTAATCAAATCTCTGTGTGTCCTAGAGATGCATCTGCATCAGCAACCTACTATTTTGATGACCAGGCGGCTGCAAAAGCGGAAAACAGGGCTTGGATTTACTTAAAGAGGATAAAACCGGAGGAGTCGGAAAGAGGTCGGAAAGAGCAGGTACATTTCAGTGAGAGAAGGGCATGGATGGCGTCCTTCAACGGCCAAAGAAAATGATGACCTTTGTTAAATTTATTAGCTCTCCCACTTACCCAAAGATCTGTTAGAAGAGTCTGAGGGGTGAAAATTCCTTTTATTGAAAGTTCTCTTTCACAGAAAAATAAACAAAACTACCCTGGGAAATGACAGTGGTATTCAGAATCCTCTTCTGTTAAAGTGTGTAGTTTTTTGAATATCAAAACCAATATGAAATAGATGAACATATTTTCCTCTCTTTTTTTTTCTCTTTTTTAAATTCTTCTCTTATATAATACATCCTGACCACAGTTTCCCTTCTGTTCATGCCTCATAGTCTCTTCCCCTCTCCTTCCCTCTTCCTCAGATCCAATCCTCCTCCATTTCCTCTTCCAGAAAAGAGCAGGCCTGCCAGGGACATCAGACTAGTACTGTAAAATCAAGTTACTATAACAGTAGGCACAAAACCTCATATCAGGGCTGGAGGAGGCAACCCAGTAGGAAGAAAAGGGTCCCAAGAGCAGGTAAAGGAGTCAGAGACATCCTGCTAACACTCCCCCTGTTAGGAGTCCCATAAAAAACACCAAGCTAACAACCATAACATATGTGTGTCATATACATGTATATATTCAGAGGACCAAGCCCAGATTCATCTAAGCTCTATGACTGCCACTTCAGTTTCTGTGAGCCCCTATGAACCCTGCTTAGTGGGAGCATGTTGGGCTGTGGGCTCTTGGTTTCCTCTGCCCCTCTGGCTCCTACAATTCTTCCTCCTCCTCTTCGTCAGGGTTTCCTGAGCTCCAAGGAGAGGGCCCTGATGGAGGCCTGTCTCCAGTTTGTGCTTTCTCTCTGCCTAATGTTTGGCAGTGGGTCTCTGCGTCTGCTTCCATCAGCTGCCAGAGGGAGACTCTCTGGGGCCAGTCGGACTGGGCACCAGATGAATAGATTTTCAACCCCAGAGGCATTATTTTAAAAGTCTCGGAGAGATGGCATACAATAGTCTTAAATATACAGGTTTTGCCCAGGTGTGGAGGCATACACCTTTGATCCACTGGTCTGTGAATGCTAGTTTCTATCATCTGGCAGTGGGAAGACCTTGTACTTTGATGTGTTACAAAGTATCAGTGAATAACAGTATCTGTCTCCCCTGGTCATTGGATTGATTGATTACTTGAGAGAAAGGATTCTGGTTGCTTCTTTACCTTGGTTGTGTCAGATGTGGCATGATATTTAGGCCCGCTCACATTTCATTGAAATAGGCTATTATGCCACTTAGGGCATCTTCCTTTGCAGAGGGAGGAGGGAGACCCCAGGAAGCTGAGGAAGCTACAAGATTCCCAGGGTCCCTCACTGAGCTTACACAGGCAGGAAGCAGTTACTGTAGACTTCTCTGCATCTCCAGGGAGATGCAGACACATGTAAGCGACCCTGAGAAACTTATTGGTTCACCAAGCTAGGCTTGGAACTTGGCTTGAACAATTTATTTGGTCAGTTGGTATCCTCGCTGGGTTGGATAGGCTTTGTCCACGCGTCCGCACCGTTAGTGTACAATAAATAGAAACCCAAACAAGTCACACCGGGGGTGGGTACGCCAGAGGTGAGGCTCGCCTCGCTGAAGCTGGTACCCAAGCTGGAATCCCCAGTCACCGTGCTAGCTTGTATTCTCGTCGCTTTTTGATGAGGTGTTTTAAGTGTGTAACTAACCCTTTCTCTCACAGGTAACCCTACACAAACGTTAAAATGTTAGAATGTCTTATGTTATCATTTCCTTCTGATTTTTGTATCAGGTTCGGCAAAGAGCGAAAGAATGTTCCCAGGCTCTCAGTGCGATTCTCGACATTGAACATGGAACCCCAAAAGAGAACATTCTAGGTTCAGGTTTTGATATGAAACAGCTGAAGGTGAGATTTTTTATTTTTATTTTTTATGTAATTTTTTTTATTTTATTAATTACAGTTTATTCACTTTGTATCCCAGCTGTAGCCCCTTACCCCAACCCCTCCTAATTGCACCCTCCCTCCCTCTTCTTCTTCTATGCCCCTTCCCCAGCCCAATGATAGGGGAGGTCTTCTTCCCCTTCCATCTGACCCTAGTCTATCAGGTCTCATTAGGACTGGCTGCATTGTCTTCCTCTGTGGACTGGTAAGGCTGCCCCCCCCCCCTCAGGTGGAGGTGATCTTAGAGCAGGCCAATCAGTTCATGTCAGAGACAGTCCCTGTTCCTATTATTGAGGAATCCTCTTGGACACTGAGCTGCCATGGGCTACATCTGTGCAGGGGTTCTAAGTTATCTCTATGCATGGTCCTTGTTTGGAGTATCAGCCTCACCAAAGAACCCTGGGCCCAGATTTTTTGGTTCTGTTGCTCTGTTCCCTCCAGGTCTTTCTATCTCCCACCTCTTTCATATGATTCTCTGCACTCTGCCCAAAGTTTGGCTATGCATCTCAGCATATGTTTTGATACCCTGCTGGGTGGAGTCTTTCAGAGGCTGTCTGTGATAGGCTGAAGGTGAGATTTTAACAGAGCTCTTTCTTCCTTGGACTATGTTTCTGTATTGGTTTTTTGTTTTGTTTTGTTTTGTTTTCTTTTTTTTTTTTCTTTTTTGGCTGCTTTTTTGCTACCATATTTCAAGGTACATGATAAGAGACTTTGTAATGAGTGGCTTTGATTGTCAACTTGACGTGATGTAGAATCACCTAGGGAGAGTGAGACACAATTGATGGAGGCTCCCCCATCAATTAATTTAAGACAGTCCCCTACAAAACATAACCACAGTCCAACCCAATGTTAATTGTTGGAGGAGACCCAGTCTACTGTGGCCAGGACTAATCCCTAGGCAGGGAGTCCTGAACAGCTGAGCACAAGCAGATAAGTAAGCTAACAAGCAAGTAAATCAGACATACATTACTTTCTCCCTGCTGTTGATTGTTGATACAATACGACTAGCTGTTTTAAATTCCTATCATCTTGGATTCCGTGCCATCATGGACTAAAGACATGGAATCGTGAGCTAAATAAACACTCTCTCATCTCATTTGACTTTTTTTTTCCAGGCTATTTTATCACAGCAAGAGAAATAATGCAGGACTAGAATGGGCACGCACACACTCACACATGCACACTCATGCAAGGCAGGCAGCCGCGAGACCTGCACCAGGTTGAACTGTATGTAAAGAAACACTACCAATTTGAGCTGAAAACAGCAGTTTCGTACAGTTCAACTTTGGACTTCCGAGGGAAGTATAATTTTTTTTTTTTTTGAACAGTGATGGCATCATTTTAAGCTCGATCTTGAAAGAGTTAGCCAAATGTTTCGAACGACGTTGTTGGGGGGGGGGGTTTAACTGTGAATGGCGAAAATTGTGGCGCAGAGGGAACTAGAACTAGTTTGATTTGAGGATAAGATGGTGGCCTCCTCTCTGTACCATCCAGCATTCACTCTCAACAAGCCACCTTCTGTCTTCCTGCTTCTATACATGTTTCTTTGGCCGGATGCAGACACTCCTTTTTATTAACTCAAGTCAGACCCCACCTCCTCCGAGAAGCTCCTGTGGCCCCTGCACCTTTGCAGAGCCTGGGTTCGCTGTCACACTACCCTAGCGCTCCTTGGCCCCAGTGTGCTGTATTGCGTGGCATCGCCAAAAGTCTCTACCACTTTTTTTCATGATAAACTGTGAGCTCACTAAAAATGACACTACAGGGTCTGACATGGCAGACATTGGAGGAATACTCTTAGAATGAATAAACTGATAATCACGGGGTAAGGTGAGGCGGAACTCAGGAGAGGGGCTCAGTTTCAGGTGTGGGTGTTAAAGATCAGTAAGTTTACCTCTGAGTGTGTACCTAGGTGTGTGTATATGCGTGTCTGTATGCGTATATTCTATGTTTTAAGTCATTAAGGAGCTGTGAAATGGATAAATGATTATACAGCAGAATTATTTAATGTACTCTTCTAATACCTGGTGAAATGATAACTCAGTGTCCCACTTTTCCACCCAGGGTGCTATCAACAGGAATAAAGTAGCTGTGATTGGACATTCTTTTGGAGGAGCAACAGTTATTCAATCCCTTAGTGAAGATCAGAGATTCAAGTAAGAGGATAAGACAAAGCAAAGCAACTGAAAATGACTGGGATAGAGGGCATGACAGATCACTGTTTTTCTGAAATTCTAATGATTTAAGGGATCTTTTGGGGTTTATACGTCTTATGACTTTATTCATGTTGGTGTTTCACTTTACCTGGATGGATGTTTTGTCTGTCTCTATGTGTGTGAACCTTGTATGTGCTTTGTGCTGAAAGAGGCCAGACACCCTACAACCACCGCTACAGATCGTTGTGAGCTGCCATGTGGATGCTGGGAATAGAGTCCATATCCTTGGCCAGAGAAAGAACTGCTCCATGCCACCAATCTGACTCTCCAACTCAAGCCTTACTATTGTTCTTTGCTTCATAAAGAGTATAACCTTTCCTAGGCAGAAGCCATTTGTCTGTCCTGCTGCTAAAAGTGTTTCCTTGCCATAGTAATAGAGCATCAATATACACAGTTGCACAGGCTTCTCTATAGTAGGATACGGAGTCCTTTGGATGTATGCCCTGGAGTAGTACAGCTGGTTACGGTGGCTCTATGTCCAGCTTTCTGAGAAGCCTCCACATTGATTTCCATAGTGCCTGCAGCAACAGTGAATAAGGCTTCCCCTTCCCCCACACCCTTGCCATCCATTGTTGATTCTCCCTGGGAAGAGATGGCCTCTCAAAGTCTTTTAACCATCACTTCCCTAACAGCTAAAGATGCTGAATACTTCTAAAGAAACTTACTAGCCATTTGTTTTCCTTTCAAGAACTCTTGGTTTAGAACACTTTGGCCCATTCTTATTTTGTTTCTGTTGTTGTTTCTAAGTTGGGTCGTTTTCTTGTTACTTTGTTTGGAGCTCTTTGTATATATATATTTGTATATCTATGTCCCTCTCATCTGTGGATCTAGGCTTCATTGGGCTGACTGTGTAGAGGCCAGGAAACTAGAGAGGGTCTCATAAGCAGTGAAACAGAGGCTCTGAGGGAGAGGAGTGGGTAACACACCAGAACCCATGATATGAAGGCTTTAAGTGGGGATGTGTGGATGGAGATGGAGCGGAGTGGAGTGAGTGCAGAAAGGGTCATCCCAAGTTAAGTATTCCTGAGCAAGCCCTAAAGAAACCTACTGCTTTGTAAGCTGATTTTAAAAGCAGTTTTTCCACCTATCCTCACCCATCCTCTATTGTCCTTATTTATCTATGGAGGGTTTGACATTTTCACTTGGAATTTCATCACTGTGTCTCTTCTGTGTCATGTCTGTGATAACATTGCCACCATTGTTACAATCTTCCTTAACACATTCAGTTTTTAATTTTATCATTAGCTCCCCTTTTCTTTTGTCTTTTGAGGTGAGGCTAGATCTAAAATCATAGTCATTTTGTGATTTTTAGTCAGAAATGAGCCCGCTTTTCTAATGTATAGAAACATTTTTTTTTCTTGAATAACTTCATCCTAGAGTCACATCAAACCAACTGTCTAGGAAGTTTGCTGGACTAATTGAGATGTTTCCCATCAATATAAGGGCATTCTCTGCTATCATCCAGTTTGCATATGGATGGATTTTTGAAGAGGCCAAGGAACATAAGATCAAACTTAGTGGGAAGGAGAAAATTTGCTTTTTAATTTTTAAACTTTATTTTTATATTTTTAATTCTGTGAATGTGTATCTCTGACTCTCTTTCTCTCTCTCTGTCTCTCTGTCCCTCTCTCTGTGTGTGTGTGTGTTTGTGTGTGTGTGTGTGTGTGTGTGTGTGTGTGTGTGTGTGTGTACATATGAGTGCAGTGCCCAAGGATGCTAAAGGTGTCAGGTGCCCTGGAGCTAGAGTTATTGGTGGTTGTGAGCAACCTACTGTGGTCCTTTGAAGAACAGAAAAGACTCAACCACTGAGCCATCTCTCCAGTCTCCAAAGTTACATTTCCACGTGGTGTGCTTCAGGTGTTTTGCCCTCTCAGTACAATCCTAAGTGTCTCAGGAAGCTTGCTCTTCTGAAATAGGTGTAACGGACACTCTGTGAAGCATGTAAGACTCTGGAAAAGGGTTGGAGAGATTAATCCTCAGTTAAGAGCATTCAGTCTCCAGCACCACGTCAGGCAGCTCATAACCACCTATAACTCCCACCTCAAGAGATGCAGTGTCCTCTGCTGGCCTCTCTGGGCATCGCCACATAACCCCATTCTCCCCGCCTGTGTTATCCTCTGCAGTCTTGAAACACAGAAGAAATGGGGCAAAATTGCTACTTTTCAGCCTTGAAGAAATTACAACTGATTTAAATGTATTTTGAAAACCATGTTTTTAAATATGTTATAGTTCATTTAAAAGGCTGGTGATTCCTCATTACAAAATGTTTTCTTATGCTCTTTGATGTGACCAAAAAAAAGAATATAAAAACCTTTTAAGGAAATGGCTTTCTTTGTTATGATTCTTTTTTTTTTTATTTTTGCAAAATGTTTATTCTGTTAATCCCCTGCATTCATAGATGCTAACACTTCAAATATTTATCATTTCTAAGTAAACGAGAGTAAACACTTTTATCATAGATGTAGCTAATGATTATTAATACTTTTTAAAGGATCTAGAATTCTCCCAAATTTTAGTAAAGGTGGTTTTATTGTATGTTTCATCTAGTAGATATTTTAAAAAAACAGTATGTAGAAATAATTGTTTCCAACTGAGCAAATATATTATACCATGATTCTTAAAGAATATAGTCATGCAATTCCAGGTCAGCTGTGGTACAGAGCTGACTGTAGCTTCCTTGAGATCCCTGTAGTGAGGCGGTTGGTGAGGTAGGAAGGCTTCTGCTGGCCAGCCCGTAACCAGTCATTCTTCGTCATTGTTGACGATGCCTACAGATGTGGGGTTGCTCTGGACCCATGGATGTATCCCGTGAGTGAGGAGCTGCCCTCCAGGGTGACTCAGCCTCTCTTCTTCGTCAACTCTGCCCGCTTCCAGTCTCCCAACGACGTCAAAAAAATGAAAAAATTCTACCAGCCTGGCAGAGAAAGGAAAATGATCACACTCAAGTAAGTGCTCATGGCGTGGGCGGTGGCCTGTACCTGAAGCATTGGGGGACCACTGCAGAATGGGCTGTGCTGAGTGCCACATTTTTACTGCTTAGAATATAGTCTGTCACCCTCAGTCCTCTTACGCTTACTCTTTTTTTTTTTTCTTGTAAAACGAGAAATTTGCATTATTTAAAGCAAGGTCACAGGTAAACCTTTTAGGCTATCATATAGTGGTACACTAAAAAATAATCTCAACCGTACAGCAAAACACATTTGAAACTTTGCATGTCTAATGGATTACTGTGTAGATCCAAGAATGTAATGTAAAAGCTTGGACTCTAAATAGCATCTGCCTTCGTTTCAATGTGACATCTTATGTAATTTCAGAATTAAAAAGAAATGAAAAATCATTTGCTAATCTAAAGCAGCAAAAACTTTTCAAGATGAAACTCATTGTTTTAGTAAACAAATTACCGATGCTACAGATGTTGGCCATTGATGTCTTGGTACTCTGGGATGGCCATGCTGGTCATGAAAAGCTTACCAAAACGTAACTGACAGCCTCAACTTTTAAAAACTTTTATTCTTTGTGAATTTCACGTCATGCACCCCAGTCCCACTCATCTCCCTGACCCTCCATACCTACCCTCTACTTTTGCAATCACCCCCTGCCAATAAATAAAAAGAAAAGGAAATAAATAAGAAAGTGTATCTCTCTGTGGAAGCTGTGGTGCATCACACAGTACACCCTTACACCCAAACAGCTTTACATGGAAATGCTCGTTGTAATGAGTCGTTGGTCTGGTTTGAGGCCTCTGGCCTCTGCTACACTATCCATGCTGGATCCTCACTGGGACTTCTCTCTGATATCCTGTTGGTCTGTGTGCTGGAGATCCTGCAGCTTTGGTTCTACAGGACCCGCGCCTTCATGCACCATAGCAATTCACAGGTGGGGTAGATTGGGTAGATGTTGGGGTAGGCCATCTCAAGACCCTGGATCTGGACATGGGTAGTGGCTGAGTTGGTCAGATCACCAGCTCTTCTGTGCCCATACCACAGAGGCCAGCTCTACCACACTTTTCAAGTGAGGGTGGGGCCAGCTCTCCTGAGAGACAAACCAGGGAGGGGCAAGGCCAGCTCTGCACAGCCCTCAGACATCGACATGGCCCCAGGTGGCAGCCAGGACCAAGAATATCTGCGTGGCCTTTGGTGGGAACATGGGCCATGGACATTGACAGAGATCCCTTTTGCTGCAGGACCACAGACCCAGACGTGGGCCTGGACCTCACCATGGCCTCAAGTGGCAGCACAGGCTACACACATCAGGGTGCTCACACCCAGCTGTTCCTCACCACCCTCGAGTCTCCAGTGCCAGCCCTTTTCATAACGTACAAACCATTCCCCTTCTATCGCTCCACCACAGAACTTGCTCATTGTAGTGAAGCCTTCTAGGTGTCTTCAGCCCCATCCGCTCACACGCACTTTCCTTTTTGATGTGGTGCATTTGAGTGCTTGGCCTGCTTGTGTCTCTGCGCACCAAGTGTGTGTGGTGTCTGCAGAGGCCAGAAGAGAGTGTCAGGTCCCTCTGGAACTGGCTGTGAGCCGCTGTGTAGGTGCTAAGAAACAAACCCAGGTCATCTTCAGGAGCAGCAAGTGATCTTAACCATGGAGACATCTCTTTAGCCCCAGACTTAAATGGAAATGCTTTTAATGCCGTTAATTATACAGTGCTGCTATTGTCGGTTTAACTGGGTATTGACTACTTTTGTCCGAACGCCTACAGATCTGAGGGATGGCAGTTCATCCTTAAGTAGTTGAAAGTCCTTAAGGAAAAGGTGAGAGCATCCATTTTGTTGGAACAATATGTAAGTACTGCCAAGCTACGCAGGGATGCTCCGAATGATAGCCGTGTGCTTATATCCTGATGTGGTCTTACACTCACAACAAGATTATTCAAAGCGGGGCTAGAGAGATGCCTAGAGTTGAGAGCAGTTGCTGACCTTGTAGAGGACTGGATTCTGAATCCCAGCTCCCAAGTCAGACTGCTCACAAAGGCCTATGTCTCCAGCTCCAGGGGATCCAATGAGCTTTTCTGGTCTTTGCCAGCAAGTGTGCATGCACACACTCAAATGAAAATAAAGATTTTAAAAAGACTTTCAAGCAAAAATAGTTGAAGTTTTTATTTTTCTAGCCAGAAGAGGAATTGAATTTTAGGATGATTAAATGAAGGGATTTTGACCTTCAAATACATAAAAATGACCAGATTCCACATTTTGTTTCCTTATTTTGCAGAGAATTATCCAATGGGGCCAAAACTTTTTTTGTACATTTGTAAAAATATATATTTTCATGCAACGTAAGTTATATATTTCTCTCTTAGGGGTTCAGTGCACCAGACTTTTGTCGACTTTACTTTTCTATCTGGCAAAATAATTGGAGAAAGGCTGCAATTAAGAGGGGAAATAGACTCCAGTGTAGCCATCGGCCTCAGCAACAAAGCTTCTCTGGCTTTCTTACAAAAGCATTTAGGTAAGAAACAATTCATTCTTCTGGTCCTCAGAGTGCTTGGTTCTCAATGGACAAAACCATTTTATATTCACTCAGTCTTATTCTTATTGTAGCTATTTCCATTTGCTTTCCAGTAGACAAAGCAGAAAGTTAGGCTTAAAAAGTGAATTTTGTTGCCTTGCATTGTTTAATAGGTGTGTGCATGGGTACATATATGTCGATGTGTCTATTGTATACACGTACTTGTTGAAGCTAACAGTCCTATGGATCCCAAGGTGAACTTTCGTGCTGGGGATACTGACAGCAGTTTGCTTATCTGTAAGCCTCTCTGGAGGGTATGCATTTGCTAAATCAACCTGGTGGCCTTGGACAGAACGCCTGGCCCCTGGGAATTCTGGTTGCACTGCGCTAGCTCTGTAATCTGTGACTCTATGCTGCCACCTAGTGGCATCCAACTGTTTAATAGTCTCAACGTTTATGTCTTCTCTTTTTTTAAAATAGGACTTCATAAAGACTTTGATCAGTGGGACTCTCTGGTGGAAGGAAATAACGAGAACCTGATCCCTGGGTCACCCTATGATGGAGTCACTCAGCCCCCGGCTCTGCAGCACTCTCCAGACTCACACACCCAGAATTAGAAGAGCTTGTTACGCAGTCTCCTTTTAAAATTGAGAGAGAGAGAGAGAGAGAGAGAGAGAGAGAGAGAGAGAATATGTAGGAATATGCAGGAGATAGAGAAACCATAATGTATTTACCCACCAAAAAATGGATGCTTAGACCTTTCCCCCCTGTAAGTGTAAAACAAAAAACAAAACATAAACTAGAGCATACAAAAAATTATCAACAGTCTAAATCATAATTTTGCAAGGCTGGTCCTTTAAGTGTCAAATGAAAAGCTACTTTCATTTCACTTACAGAAGTGTGTTGACAGGAATAGTCCCAGTGAAAAGCTGTTGCAGATGACACGAGATCCTCAAACTTATAATAAAAACAGAACAGACTGTCCTGTCTTTGGTTCTCTGTTCTGAGCAGCAGAGTCGAGTTTGAGCAAAATGAGAGTCTTGCGTAGCATTTCTCTGTGACCTTTGCTGAGGTAAGAAACTTACACTGTTCTGATCAGGAAGTCATTGTCTTGGGGCAGAATTGGTGGTGCTGTTCAATTCAATCGACGATGAAATGTGATGTGAGGTGTTTAGAATATCTGAGACAAGTGTCATAGAGTCAGAGTTGGTAATTTAGGTTTTCAATACCGTAATCTCTGATGTGTTCGCTTTACTAAATGGACATGCTGTGAGCATTGAGGCTGTGCGAAGCAGGCAAGGTATGCCCACTCATGCAAAGACTGCCAAGGACACAAAGGAAACGTTCAAAATTCTCAGCCATCTTTGGTTGTTTTAATTTTATATGACAGCATATGACAGATGGCATTCACCTTTAATCTCAGGACTTGGGAGGCAGAGATAGGCGGATCTCTGAGTTCCCTATCAGCCTGGTGTACAGAGCGAGTTCCAGGACAGCAAGAGCTACACAAAGAAACCCTGTCTTGAAAACACACACACACACACACACACACACACAATATTGTAAAATTGACAGCTAAGTGAAAGTCTAAAGGGGGTTTTATAACATTTTGTGTGTGCTATGTGTTCGCACATGGAGAGGTACATATGTGTATGGACATGCCAGTACACATGTTATCGCACACATGTGGAGACTAGGCAGCATCCTTCCACCTTGCTGGAGTCAGGCTCTCTTTGCTGTTCTCTACTGCATATACCAAGTTAACTGGTCCTCAGACTTCCAGGAATTCACCTGTCTCTGCCACCTGTCCCATGAAGGTGTGCTGGTGTCACAAACAAGTCCTACTGTCTCCGACTTTACCTGGGCTCTAGAGATTCAAATTCATGCCCTTTCATAGCAAATGCTTCACCCACTGGCCCATCTCCCCAGCATTTCAGGGGTGTGGACATGGGTCTGCATCCGAGAATCAGACAAGGAGTGTTTCTCAGTGGCTGCAAGCATTTAGGCTGTCCACGAGGGGAGCACATGATCTGGTTTAAGTATCCTGCATCCTGTCTCTTCTACAGATTTCTACAGAGTGTGAATTTGCCTTGGGTGGTGTGGACAACGATTGCCACCCTCCCACCTAGGAGGCAACTGTGTTCTGGTTTGCCATCATTTAGTCCCCAGTAGCCAGTCACGTTAAGTCTTTAAATAGATAAAATTCCTTAACATAAAACTGAAGGCTTATGTCATCTGGCCATGGTGTACCTTCTTTTCCTCTTGGTCATTAATGACATTTCTCTGCGTCGGCCAAACTGTCAGCAAGCAATGTTTTTCTTCAATTATTAGTTTGTAAGAATCTCTCTCTCTCTCTCTCTCTCTCTCTCTCTCTCTCTCTCTCCCTCTCTCTTTCTCTCTCTCTTTGTGTGTGTGTGTGTGTGTGTATGCATGCTTCTGATGAGCCTGCCACTTGTGCGGGTGCTGATGAAGGCCAAAAGAGGGCATTTGGGTTTCTCTAGAACTGGAGTTAAAGGTGGTTATGAGCTGCCTTGCATGGGTGCTGGGAACCGAACTCTGGTTCTTCACAAGAGCAGTATGAAGGCTTAACTGCTGAGACATCTCTCCAGCCTCTTCCTCAGTTGTTTTGTGACGCAACCTCTCCCGTTTTCCAATCGCTGAAACAATACCCACATTTTTTGTTGCCGTTGTTTACATTTTAAGACAGGGTCTCACTGTGTAACCCTGGCTAGCCTGGGACCCAGTGTGTAGACCATGCTGGCTTTGAATGCGGAGATTTGCCTGCCCTTGCCTCCTGAGTGCTGGGTGTAAAGAATTGTGTCACCTTGCCCAGCAACACCCAGTTTTTAAGGTGCTCAATTCTCACTGTTCCCATGGGACATCAGGGGCTGATAATATTTTATTTATTTTTAATATATAACCTACTATCTAGGTTATATATTATAGATATATATATACTATCTACTATACCAGGCTGACCTCAAACTCACAGAGATCCTCCTGCTTCTGTCTCCTAGTGCTGGGATTAAAGGTGTGTCCCACCATGCCAGATCAGAGCTAAGTTTTCATAGCACCAAGCCTCCCCACTCCTCAGTTACAGAAGAGAAACAAAAGAACACGGGAGACCACCACAGCTTTAAGAATAAACTTTATTTAAATCTTGTGTTGCATCTGCTTCCAAAGCAAAACAAGGGTTCTGACGATCTTGCTAACAAAGATGTGCTACTTGGCAGCTCCTGTCAGTCACAAACCTAGAGTTTTCTATTTTAATATAAACAATCTATTGGAAAGATATAATTTTATGAATATAGTAGTAAGCTAGCCAATTGTTTGGCAAAATAAATTATCCTGGCTAAAACACTAGAAGACTACAGGCTGAGGGACAAGCCCAGATGCCTCTAGAGAGCAATAAACAGGCTGCTTTGTCAACCTGAGACCTACTGCTTCCATCTCAGATCATTCCCCCATGAAGGACAACTTCCAGGGGCCATGTGGTTTACATTTCCTCCAGTTGGGGTAGCACGTGGCTTTTTAAAGGCAGCTTCTGATTGGCAGGGCCTATACCTCCAGAGTTGAATCTGCATCTCCTCCACGCTGCTCCTCTGAAACAGAAGAAAAGCCTGAGAAGAGAAAGCAGAATAACAACAGGGCAGGGAGGAGGAGGAGGAAAGCCCCACGAAGGACTCAGAGCTATTCCTAAGAAATCAGTCCTTTCCTTTTTAACACTCTTCTCCGTACCTAGTACTAAAGCTTCTTTAAGGCGCTTTGAAGTTGGCTGATTTCATCTTTTGCAGAATGAGAGTAACACAGCTGCCAATCTCTACTACAGCCACGGGGGGGGGGTGTACTGATTTAATTTTTTCTACAGTTCTAAGAGCCAGCATGCTGGCACACTGTGTGTGTGTGTGTGTGTGTGTGTGTGTGTGTGTGTGTGTCTGTACATGGAGATGTGTGGCAGTACAGACAACTTGGCAAGAGTCAGTTCCTCCTTATGCCACGTACCGGTTAAGTGGGTTTTTGTTTGTTTTCAAAGGGACCCATGTTAGGATTGTCCGGGAGAAGGAACTCAATTGAGAAAATGCCTGTATTAGACTGTTCCTTGGGCAAGTCTGTGTGGCACATTCTTGATTAATAAACTATGCGGGAGAACCCAGCCTAAGTGGGCAGTGCCAGCCCTGAGCAAGTGGTCATGGGAGGTGCAAGAAAGGTGGCTGAAGACGAACTGCAGTGCAACCTAGCCTGCCTCTGCTCCCGCCTCAGTTCTCGCCCTCTATTTCCTCCATGACGGACTGCGGCTGGAATGTCCCAAGCAAACACTCTCCTCTCAGATTGCTGTTGGTCCTGGTTGTGTTATCACAGCAACTGAAAGCAAACTGGAACACATCGTGTGGGATCCAGGGTCAGGTCAGCAAGGCTTGGCAGCGGTCCCCATACCCACTGAGCAATATGACACCATGGAGATAAACTAAATGTCCAGAAAGAAACTCCAGAAGATTGACAGATGGACAAATTAAATATGTAAACACGTTAATTCTGAGAAAGCACTTAATTTTAAAGTTATATTTATTATTATTATTATTATCATTATTAAGGGAGAATGGGTGGGCACATGCGTGTGGAGGTGAAAGGACAGTTTGTAAATGTCAGTTCTCTCACCACATGGGTCCCTAGGTTTGACCTCAAGATTTCAGGCATGACAGCTGGTGCCTTAACCTACCCACTGATGCCATCTTGCTTACCCTGAGAAAACCATTTCATGCCTTTTAAAGTATTAGTTTATCCACTTCAGAAGTTAACTTCTAAGATTTAATTAAGTTCACCAACAAATTCCCTCTGACATTTTAGCAAATCTTCCTCTTATTTATTCCAACTCACTGCATTTAAACATTCCCCCCCGCACCCCGACACACACAGTTCTGCTAATATCCACAGAAGCTGACAAACCACTCCACTTGAGAGATTAAGGTAATGCTGTCTTTAAGAATTGGAAATTCTGGGTGACAAAAATATTGTGGTTTTAAGCACACAGGTTACCTTTGATGGTGGTGTCATCCGACAACATGAAGGAGAGGTCCTTCCCCACTGTTTGGAAGACAGCCTAACAAATGAAACCTGAGTTATCATCATTGACAAAACTGTAAGCACAGAGTAGTTTAAAGTCAGAACCCCACCACAGATGGGGATACAGGGTAAAGTGTGTTTCTGGTGTTAGCATGGTTTGGTTTCAGAGCCAGGAATCAGGGTCAGAAGCACACCCTGGGTCCACTGACTCCTGCCTCTTCCTTCCATCTGCTGGGGCGTGCCATCCAGGCGGGGCGGCACCAGTCTCCTGCATGTAGGCTCTCCCAACCCTGGCAGCTTTGATGGAGGAGGGAGAGGTGGTAATGGGTGTGCTGGTGTGCACCTGTAATCCCAGATCCTGGGAGGAGACAGAAGGACCAGAAGCTCAAGGTCAGCCTCCACACTCTAGAGAGCTCCAGGCCTACCCGGGAAGATGCACTATACTTAGCCCTAAAGGGAACATAGAGACTGTACCCAATCCTCCCAAAGCCCGGGACCATTGCAGAACAGGGGCCAGAAAAGTGTAAGAGCCTCAAGGAAACTACAAGGAAACTGTGTTCTGGACACAGCAGGGCAGCTGCGCCCACAGCAAATTAGGACGGCACGCACAAGACCTGTGCCAACCCAAATTGGACCAAATCCCAGCATGGAGATGGGTGTTGAGCCTGAAATCCCACTCGCCCCCCAGCCATGGAGACATTGACAACTGGGAGAAGAAGAGATGGTTTTTCTCTAGAGCCTTGCTCTTGCGAGGTCAATTATGCCCCATTGGGAAACCAGACACCCAAGAGTATCTGGATATCATCACAAATTAGTCTTTAAGGTTGTAAAACAAAGGATGCAAAGTTGGGTAGGGAGGGAAGACTAATGGATCTGGGACGAGCAGGGGAAAGGGTGTGAATAGGATCAGAACACATTGCATAAAACTCTAAATGAACTAGAAAAGGGGACATCGCTCTTCAGAGAGCTGTTATTCAAACCTGTTATCCATGCTGAGACCCCAATGAGTTATTAATGATTACAGTCCCTTCAGTAACTAAAAGCATAATGTGCAAGTGAAACTGATTAGCAAGGCGTTTTGTGGTAAAATTAAATTGTTCAGATAAAAATTCTAAAAATCACACACGTAGACACTAATGGCTTCATGTATCGTGAAGCCATGCATGATTTAGTGACTCATAATGCTCGTTTGTAAGTGGGTGTCTTATCTGAGCTCCTCCACATTACAGGATCATTTAAGCCCCATTAGTAACCAAATCTAACAATGTTAATATTTTTCTCCTAAGTGGTCTCTCCGCATCTGCTAATTGGCTTAGATAATGCTACATGTGATTGCATATATGAGTGTACCATTTGGGTATTCCTAACTAGTCCCGCCCCACCCCGCTTTGGCTGGTATGGGGCATTTTATCCAGCTAGAATTCCACAGATCTATATTGGAGTATGGATGCTTCAAAATTAACAGCTGGATCCAACCAGAAGGGGAAAGAAACTTAGTAAAATTGTAACAGGATGTTGTGGTTTGACAAAGGGGGCTAAAGAGTGACTCTTTTAACAGTCACTTGCCCGGAAGAGGCTGCAGTATCTGAACATCAGACACTGCTTATGGCCTTCCAGTTGTGGCCAGTATGGAATGAGGTCCCTAACTTCTCTCCTCACTGACAGTTCCAGACACAATGGAAAAAAAGCAAATGCAAGTTTTCAAGAGTAAAGAGGTTGACAATGAAAATAATTGGGACTCAATGTAGGTGGGAGCTATGCACACACACACACACACACACACACACACACACACACACACACCCCTGTACTCCTTTGCAAGCCAAATAGAAACCATTTGTGGGGTTAGACAGCAGTATCAGAGAAGGGCTCTGTCTCTAGCCAAAGGCTGGAATGCAATGACCCTGAATACCGGAAGACAGGAAATGGGGAGAAATTCTACTGTGCTATTTTCTTCTGGTCTTGTACTGAGTAACAAGGGTGTGTAGGGACCATATATTATGGAGGAGCTTGTCTCTGCCCTTCTGTTATCTGAACAAGGCTAGGTTTATTCCTTTCCCCACACCCGCCTCACTCCAGTGGCAAGCTCAGTCACAACAGAACAGAAAGACCACAAAAGACAAAGAGAGAAACAGAACTCTACCCTAGGGGATCAAAAC